GATGGGAAAGGAGATTAATATTACAAGTTACAAATACTGTCCTTTTAAAAATGCAGGTGTCTTATAATTTAAAAAGCAAACCAAAAAGTAGCACTAATTAGCAGCTATTAATAACTAGCTAAATGGAATGAAAAAGGTCAGTGATATACAAGCTGTATTACAGTAATATACAACATAAACAGGTTAATTTTTTCCACTATTTCAGATATTGTTATGATAGTTAAAGGAAAGAGGCTATCCCAAATAGTATACAAATTCAGAAGCCTTTATTTAAAAAATTCTTCCAACAATTATTTCACAATGGACAATAATTTAAGCAAATTTATCGTACTGAAGTATTTTAGAAATGAATATTGAATTCAGTCTGTAAGTTTTCATCTAATACTTAAAACCACCTCCTGTACTAAGACTGGTTTTCAAAAATCTTAACAACATAACATTTTCAAAACATGCCCTGCTGTCTGGCACCTGCCTCACAAGCGCAAGGTCCAGAGTTCAATCCCCTGGTACCAAAAAAAAAAGCCTGAGAGTTTAGCCTGGGGCCGGGAATTTAGCTCAGTGGTTTTGCTGCCTGCTGCGTAAAAACAAGGACCCGAGTTCGATCCCTGGTACAAAAAAACCCAAAAAAACATACCCTGCTGGCTAGAAGCAACTCTTTCTTTTGAACTTTTCAGAAGATCCCTGGCTTTCTGTTTCTAACCTTAAAGTGCACGTGTACTTTTAAATACGCCATTAGGGCAAGCATTCCTCATAAAACGCAACTTTTCCAAAAAGTAAGTCCCATCCGTAACTGATGGTAAATACATCTTGAGAAACTTCTGAACTCTAATCTGTGAGAAATCAGAATCAACTTTCAAATTATTACTCAAATCTTTTCCAAAACCAAGAAAGCTAAGAGATGATGAATACATGGTTGTGCTAAAATACTTTGTCATAGTTAATCTGTATTCTTTCTTCTTAAAAATAAGGTATAGTCTAAGCTAATATGGGTAAGAAAAGGCATAATACCAAGAAATTGTAAAACAAAGTTACAAATCTGTACCTTTAGAAACTCCGAAAGTCATGGGTAGGAGTGATGGCAAAGGTTCGAAATAGATGTGACCTTGTACAATCTGTGAACTTCCTGCCCTCATAGTTCAATTTAAAACTAGAATTTTTCAAGTATTTTATGATGCTCAATTTGAAGGACTTTTTCTCATTTGGAAGAATTTCTTAAATAGAAAAAATGTCATGCTTAAAAACAGCTGGTGAGCCCCAAAATAGAGTATTTCATTTAAAGTTTCCAGTCAGACAGAATCAAGAGTAATCACATATGCAAAAGGAAATTCTTGTTGTAATAATGTTTTTAGTGAGAAAAAAAGGTCTATAAGCAAATATTCTTCCAAAGGGATATCCATACAAGAGAATCCTGAAGCTGTTAAAACAATGAATTAGAGCTGGATGTGGCAGTATGGAAAGACAATCAATTTAAACAAAAATAACCAAGTCATAAAACTGAACTTTTAAATAAAGGACAGCGGGAAGATATATAAAGATATAAAATAAATGATGACATTTCTGAAAGACTACACAAGAATACAAAAAATTATATTTCTCTGGAGTGTGGGAATAAAAGTATAACAAACCTGATTGTGCCCAAACCATTCTAGGAAACACTGACTACATAAGATTAGCTCATAACCCTGTGCGTTTAGTATGACCATATAATCAAAATTAGAAGGCTCTTTGGTATTTTCTTCCTTTGTCTCTCCACTCAAAAATGAAGGGAAGAAAATGCTGAGAATTTAGAATTCAAATTGTACTCTTATTGCTCACACAATAACTTGGAAAATAACTGCTCAAGATTTCAAAGAACTGATTTTAAAAAACTGACGGGCATTTTAGTCGTAAGTTGAACTATTTCATCCAGGATCAGTTTTTCTTTTTACAAAAGCCTAAAACACAACATTCTATTTGCATTAAACTCCAAGCCCAGATTTCAAAAATAGATTTAAAGGCCGGGGATTTAGCTCAGTGGTTCTGCTGCCTGCCTCGAAAGCATAAGGTCTCGAGTTCAATCCCCAGGACCAAAAAAAAAAAAAAAAGACTTAAATATACAATAAATTCTCATTGCTGGTATAAAATAAGCAGATGGATAGAGGTTATCTGGTATACATTCTTGGCAGAAGGCTTCACTGGAAAAGATCACCATGAATTTAAACTTTATACAACTATTCCCAAGTCAGAAAAAAAGGTACCATTGGAAAAGCCAAATCAAAGGCCCCGAAAAAGCATCTGAATATTTGAGATTAAGAAAACTGGGGGGCCGGGGATTTAAATCAGTGGTTCCACCGCCTGCCTCGCAAGTGCAAGGACCCCAGTTCGATCCCTGGTACCAAAAAAAAAAACAAAAGAAAACTGGGAGGGCTATGATAGTGGCCACTTGAGGACATGCTCTAGGTGCTGGATTCAAAAACCAACTTTTGGAACACTGTGCTGGCCAAACAGAAACAACATGCAGCATTCTGAGCAGAAGCCACAAAGTATAACCTCTACACTAGCACATAATATAATCAGACTTCTAAAACCCGGATTCGCAATGCGTAGGCTCTTTCCAGTGCCTGATATAATTTTGAAATGAACTTTGTATCCAAATGTTTGAATGAATTAATACTAACAACAAAATAATACAAAACAAAATCCTTTCCAAATACTAGATACAACCATCAAAAGACTGATAAATTTAAAGAAGGAACTGTGGAAATATGTATCAACGCTGTGCTGGAGCAGGCTTGCAAAGGTGTGATCTGTTGGTGTATTTTTCTTTTAAAGTACATTACATGACATGATTAGAAGGTCAAAGTAGCTATAGTGACAGTATTTGTATCCCAAGGGCCGGGGATTTAGCTCACTGGTTTCGTCGCCTGCTGTGCAAGCGCAAGGACCTGAGTTCGATCCCTGGTACCAAACAAACAAACAAAAAAACAGTACTTGTATCCCAACTACAAGCATGACTGCTGAATATTTACCAGCACAACACTGGACCACACCATGGTCATACATTCTTCTATTCAAATACAGCCACACAAATAAAAAGCTTAATGATGCTACTTTAAAATATACAAAAAAATTAAATAATGAGTATAAATTCAATACAATAAATAGGTTAATTTAATATAAATCTAGTATCTTTTAAAAAGAAAATTTTAGGGCTGGGAATTTAGCTCAGTGGTTCCACCACCTGCCTCGCAAGCACAAGGACCCACGTTTGATCCCCGGTAACC